AGGGTATTTGGGAATGGGAGTAGTAAGGACGTTTGGGAATGAATGGGGGAGGGGGCTGGGGGAGTGGGGGCATTTGGGAACAAGCAGGGGTGGTGGGGCAAGAGGAGGACGTGAGGGCAGTATGAAGTGTGTGTGTGAGGACTGAGTGCTAGACACCATGACCCAGGGCACAGGAGTAACAAAGCAAGAGGTGAGCGAGTGAAGAGAGTATATGGGGATTGCATATGGGTGTAGGTGTCTGGGAAATGGGGTGGGGTTATAGAGTGGGATGATGGTCTTCGGTCAAGTGTTTGTATGGAGAGAGGGTATGGGATTGGTGAGGTGGGGCTATGGTGTGGGTATGTAGGTAAAAGGGTATTGGGCTATGGGGTGTGGGTATGTGGGTGTCAGGGCATGGGGCTAAGGGGTATAGGGTGTGGTTAATGGGGTGTTGGGGTATGGGTCAGGGTATATGGTGTGGCTAAGGGGGGTAAGGGGTGTAGGGGCAAGTGGTGTAGGGTGTGAGTGTGGGGCTAAGGGGTATAGGGTGTGTGTACGGGGTAAGGGGAAAATCGGCATGGGGTTAAGGGGTGTAGGGTATGGATATGGGGTGTAGGGAGTGGGTATGGGGGTAAGGGGCATATTGGAGTAGGAGGGTATTAGGTTTGGGATAAGAGGTATAGGGTGTAGGTATGGGCTAAGGGATAAGGGGTGCAAGTTGGACTGTCCTAAACTAACAGTCCCTATGTTCACTCCTTACCGACAGTCACTGTCCCAGACTGGGGTCTTTCCAGAAACAAGGGAACACCAGCTTGGGAAGATGCCCCCTCGACACTGCCCCTCTTCAGGGCTGTTCCAGAAGACGCTGGAACTTTCTCGCTGTCACACACTTCCTGATCCGTGCTGTGAGATTCTGGAACCTTCTGTCCGCTCAGCTCTCCAGCTGCTGCCTCTCTGCTGGCTGTTGATGAAACATTCCCGGTGACAGAGGCTGCCGATACAATGAGAGAAATGACAGCTCATGTTCCTTGGGAGGACCATGTCCTCACATTTGGTTTTATAGACAGAGCTGTGAGCCTCACTGAGAAAGGCTAGACCCAGCACAGATATGATGCACAGAATGGTCTCCTCTGCACCATGAGTGTCAGGTTAGTTGCTTTTCCCATCCAGGTCGATGTTACCATAAATGTCCCAACTACGCAACCTCGCCTGAGGTGTGGTGACCCTGATGTTAAACTCACCACCAGTCGTTGCTCTCTGATGAGGGAGCAGCACTCTGGGACTATGTTGATTCTACTTTTACCCATTTTTACACTCCCCTGAGAATCTCTGACATCTCTGCCCTTTTATCTCGACAATGTTGTCGAGGAGAATACTGAGATACAGGCTATTAGACTAGACGGGATTGAGGTTCATAAGGAGGAGGTGTTAGCAATTCTGGAAGGTGTGAAAATAGATAAGTCCCCTGGGCCGGATGGGATTTATCCTAGGATTCTCTGGGAAGCTACAGAGGAGATTGCAGAGCCTTTGGCTTTGATCTTTATGTCGTCATTGTCTTCAGGAATAGTGCCAGAAGACTGGAGACTAGCAAATGTTGTCCCCTTGTTCAAGAAGGGGAGTAGAGACAACCCTGGTAATTATAGACCAGTGAGCCTTACTTTGGTTGTGGGTAAAGTGTTGGAAAGGATTATAAGAGATAGGATTTATAATCCTCTAGAAAGGAACAATTTGATTAGGGATAGTCAACACGGTTTTGTGAAGGGTAGGTTGTGCCTCACAAACCTTATTGAGTTCTTTGAGAAGGTGACCGAACAGGTGGATGTGGGTAAAGCGGTTGATGTGGAGTATATGGATTTCAGTAAAACGTTTGATAAGGTTCCCCATGGTAGGCTATTGCAGAAAATACGGAGGCATGGGATTGAGGGTGATTTAGCGGTTTGGATCAGAAATTGGCTAGCTGTAAGAAGACAGAGGGTGGTGGTTGATGGGAAATGTTCATCCTGGAGTTCAGTTACTAGTGGTGTACCTCAAGGATCTGTTTTGGGGCCACTGCTGTTTGTCATTTTTATAAATGACCTGGATGAGGGCGTAGAAGGATGGGTTAGTAAATTTGCGGATGACACCATTTTCGGTGGAGTTGTGGATAGTGCGGAAGGATGTTGTAGGTTACAGAGGGACATAGATAAGCTGCAGAGCTGGGCTGAGAAGTGGCAAATGGAGTTTAATGCGGAAAAGTGTGAGGTGATTCACTTTGGAAGGAGTAACAGGAATACAGAGTACTGGGCTAATGGTAAGATTCTTGGTAGTGTGGATGAGCAGAGAGATCTCGGTGTCCATGTGCATAGATCACTGAAAGTTGCCACCCAGGTTGATAGCGTTGTTAAGAAGGCATACGGTATGTTAGGTTTTATTGGTAGAGGGATTGAGTTTTGGAGCCATGAGGTCATGTTGCAGCTGTACAAAACTCTGGTGCGGCCGCACTTGGAGTATTGCGTACAGTTCTGGTCACTGCATTATAGGAAGGATGTGGAAGCATTGGAAAGGGTGCAGAAGAGATTTACCAGGATGTTGCCTGGTAGGGAGGGAAGGTCTTATGAGGAAAGGCTGAGGGACTTGAGGCTGTTTTCGTTAGAGAGAAGAAAGTTAAGAGATGACTTAATAGAGACATACAAGAAGATCAGAGGATTAGATAGGGTGGATAGTGGGAGCCTTTTTCCTCGGATGGTGATGGCTAGCACGAGGGGACATAGCTTTAAATTGAGGGGTGATAGATATAGGACAGATGTCAGAGGTAGGGTCTTTACTCAGAGAGTATAAGGGCGTGGAATGCCCTGCCTGCAAAAGTAGTAGACTCGTCAAATTTAAGGGCATTTAAATGGTCATTGGATAAACATATGGATGATAATGGAATAGTTTAGGTTAAATGGGCTTCAGATTGGTTTCACAGGTCGGCGCAACATCGAGGGCAGAGGGGCCTGTGCTGCGATGTAATGTTCTATGTTCTATGTTCTATCTCTCCCTGACTGTTTAGGGGTCTGTAAAACCCTCAAAGTGACTTGCCCCTTTTATTTTGTTTACCTGTACAGCCTCAGTTGAGAAGCCTTTAAGATGTCATTCTTACTGATTGCAGTCATTCTCTTCTTGCCCAATATTGTGATGCCACTTCCTCTTTTACATTGACCCACCCCTCCCTCTTCTCGCCTGAAGATTTGATACCCTGGAACGCTCAGCTGCCAGTTCTGCCCTTCCCTCAGCCATGTCTCTGTGATAGTAATGATAACACATCACAATGGGGTAATCAACATTCTCAACTCATCTACCTTACTCCCAGGACTCCTTGCATCAATATAGGCTTTCTATCTCCCTCCCTCGTGTGTAAGCTTGACTATATTCACCTGGCCAGCCAGGCTGATCTGGTTCGTTCTTCTTCTATATTAATTTGTGTATCACTCCCTCCTGAACCACCACTGCCTCTCCCATCCACTGGGAAATTTGCTGAAACCCCCACTAACAGTGTGTGCAAATGCCCCCACCCCAAAACCCAGTAAGGGTGCTAAGCCCATTCCAGCTCAAGTGACACTAACTGGCCTTACAGGAACGGTCCTAGTGACACAGGAATCCAAAACCCTTCCTCCTGCACTAACTCCTCAGCCACACAATCATCTGCTCTGTCCATCTGTTCCTGTATTCACTAGTATGGCAGCACGAGTAACCTTATCCCCTTTCTCCATTCCTCCCCATCCACACTCAGCGCCAACCTCAAACTCTCCCCCTCTGTCGAACAACCCCCACCACCCCTCCCACACCCTCACCTAAATCCTCCCTCTAACCCCATTTCCCCTCTCACCTGTCTGTGCATCTCTTGTCGGTTTTTGTTCTGCTTCCCCTGGAGGTAATGAGCCACATCCACTGTCCTCTGTGAAGGTACAGGACAGTTACAGCTCAGTGTCTCCTGTCTCTTACTGACAGCACAGCTCCATTCCATAAGCAGAGATCAAGGGAGTTAGTCCAAGGTCTGGGTTCAACTCGGAGTGAGTGACAGTCTGTATAACCGTATACGCAAAGCTGTTCTGTGACTGGGAATTCAAACTGGAAAACACCGAGTGTCAGAATGAGCAGGGCTGCAAGGAGGATGTGGGTCTCTGAATGAGAGAGAGGAGCTGAGGGGTGTTAGACACACACACACACACACACAGAGAGGCAAAGCAGGTGTAGAACAGCAGATAACAAACGTTTCATTTCAAATAAAATCCACCTTTCTACTTTCTAGCATATATGAAAACATGTTGAGCAAGACAGCATGAGCGAATAGCCTCTGAACTAGTCTTTGTACAATGAGAATTGTTACAGTGTAGAAAATGTCCATTTAGTCCATTGTCTCTGCACCAGCTTTCTCAATGAGCATTCTGACTGAAGACCATTCTCCTCTGTTCACATTGCTCCAATAGCTGTCCAACACCCTCTTAGAAGCCTCAAGTGAACCTGTCTCCACCACATTCTCAGAGAGTACATTCCAGACTGAAGAGACCTCACTGGATGTAATAGGTTAACTGTGTTTTCTCAGACGTTGCAGACTGACTGACTTTTCCCTCATCTCTGGGATCAGTGTAGTGAACCTCCTCTGATGCTACTACATCCCACATCAAGGAAAGGGACCAAAATTGTATGCAATACTCCAGGTATGGTCTCACTAATGCCTTTTGCAGTTGGAGCAACATTTCTGTCCTTTTGTTTTTAAAACTCTTATCCTTTAGCAATAAGTGCCAATATTCCATTTGTCTTCATTATTATCTGCACATTAGTTTTCTATGATTCATGCACAAGGACATCCAGATCTCTGCACCAAAACACTCAAACATTTCTCTCCATTGAGATAATTGCCTTTCTATTCCACTGACCAAATTGGATAACCTCACAATTATCTGCGTTAAACTTCATCACTTTTACCCCATACACCAAATCTATCCAAATCCATATCCATATGGATGACAGGCCATCGGATCCTGAAATGCCTGTTCTGGAATCTGAACTGGTATAATTTCTGACATGCATAATTCTGGGATTTAAGTCAATTACTGTTTAACCTCTAAAGGGCAAGCAGGACTTCATGAGTCAATAGCCTACCTCTGACATTTTATTTCTGTCCCTAAATTGCAGTACAGAAAGAAGCCTACACTTCAGCTGTAAGAAGGTGAAGCACTGAGCCCAAATCACCAAGAAAACAATTATTGGACACTGACCTCTGGGAAGGTGTATCTCTCATGAATTTAGTTTTAATAGCTTGTAATTTGTACTTGTATTTTGCAATTGCTCTGGTTGCCTGTCCTGTCTTCCTGAATTTCCTGAGTCCTCGTGTGTGAATGGCATCGTGAAACAATCCACCAGCATGCTGATTTTTTTTAATATAATAAACCTGATTTCATCTTAAATGTTTTTGCTGTGGGTTGATTTTACTATAAGTGTAATCTGTAAACTAGGGTCTGGGGAACAGCCTTCAGTCTTCTTTGGTAAAGGAAAAGGGGTAAATGAAACAATCCATCATTGTCTCAAATCTGAGACAAAAGTTTTCCCAATTCACATTCACCCCAATCCCATTTTAACCATGACAGTGCACAGAAAGAATACCTCCATAAGTGGAAGAGTTCAAATCAGAAATAATACACACTAATAAATACAAAATAGTAACAAATAAATCCAACAGGGAATTCAGGAGGAACTGCTTGAACCAGAGACTGATGAGAATATGGAATTCCTCCTTCATTGAGGTGAATAGCACAGCAAGATATAAAGGCACCAATCGTGAAAATATATCGAAAACTTTGAACCCCCTACATTCCAGGCTATGACTCACGCCCAGGCATCTAATATTCCATACATAGACCACCCCAAATCCCTTGATTAGATTCCAGGCTGTAACTCACTCCTCGATATCTGTTATTCTATATATAAACCACCCAAACCCCTCGATTGGATTCCAGTCTGTAAGTCACTCCTGGATATCTGTTATTCTATATATAAACCACTTTGAACCCTTCGATTAGATTCCAGTCTATGATCCACTCCTGGGGAACTGTTAATTCTGAACACCGAATCTGTTAATGAGTGGAACTCCTGAGCTAACTGTCTGGCAGTATTTTTTTCCATATTTGGGAGAAGGGCGTTTAGATGGAGTGGAAGGGGAAATGTTTGGGACATGCTCTCAAGCTGCTGGTGACCTTAGTCACCGCCACCCTCCCCCTGCCTAATCAGTGCAGCCCCCTCCTCTTCTCCCATGATACAAGCTATTAATGGTCATTGTTTGAACTATGAATAACTGCAACGCACATTGCTCTCTTTTCCAACTCTGGTGACATTCCTCAGTTCTCAGAATATAGCACATGTCCCAGAAGCAGAAAGCAACTTCCTGGCTGTCCTTCCTAATTTACACACCAGACATTGCTGCTGAATAACCAGAGGGCAGGAGATGCATCGCCCAGTTAACATTCAATATCCTGCTGTATTGTTACAGAACAATCCAGGACTTGATTCCTCACTATACACTGTGTTGGTTCAGACAGCTATCCCATTAATTGTACTTTTCTCATATCTTCCTGATAAACTGTTCCTCCTCAGGAAAGGATCTGATTCTCAGCTATTACAGGCAGGGAATTCCAGATCATCACATCAGGTTTCCATGTCAAAATATCCTCCTTACTTTTGACAATCACTTTACATGTCTTCTGGTATTAGAAACTGCACCACCTCCATATTCTAGTTACACCACCAAAACCCCTTAGGAATTTTCAATCTCCCACAGCTCCGCTGCTGTAAGGAGAACAATCCCAGTTTCTCTAGTCATTCAACATTCACTGAAGTACCTTTTCTTTACCAAAACTTACGTCGCCCAGCATCACAGACTCAACTATGAACCTTCATAAACCCCATACCCTGCTCACTAACTCAACATGGCTCAGGAACCCCTCACAGGCCAGACTCTGCCATTTCTGCAAAGTAAGCTCCACCTATTCTTTTAAACTAAAGAAAAGAAAACTGCCCCTACTCTTTTAAAAAGAAAGTAAAGCTTTCTCTACACTCTCTCCATCAAACATTCCCAGGACCAGGACAACACAGGGTTAGACACAGAGTAAAGCTTCCTCCACTCTTTTAAACTGAAAGTCAACTGCAAGTAAAGCTCTCTTGATATTGTCCTCTTCAAATGCTCCCAGGATAGGGACAGCACCGGGTTAAATACAGAGTAAAGCTGCCTCTATTCTCTAAAACTGTAAGTAAAATGCTCTCTTTTCTTTTAAGCTGAAAGTAGAGCATCTCTACTCTTTTAAACTGAAATGAAAGCTTCCTCTATTCTGTCCCATCAGACACAGACTAAAGGTCAGGTTAAATCAAGCCTAAATCCCATCTATCTCAAGAGGAGCAAATTTTTTTTCTAGCTTCCTTGGTCATTACTATTCCCCAGTAGCCTACATTGTTGCTGCTGTTCTCTGTATTGCACACTAACCTGGCTCCTTGACCTTCAGCTCAAATTTGACCTTTGAGCTTCCCGCAATGACTGTGTAGACTCCGCTGTCAAGGCTGCTCACTGCATGGATGGTTAGGGTGTGCTTGGTGCCTTCTGAACTGATGGTCCATCGCTCACTCGCTGCCATGTCCGCACCATGCCGCTGCCATCTCACCTTTGCCACCCCTTTCTCTGTCTCCGCCGTGAATGTGGCATCACTGCCCACGTTGAACACTGTGCTCCGTGGCTTCTTCGTGAAGGAGGGAGCTGAGCAGGGGGAGAGGGAGGTGGGACACGAGAGACACAGGTTTCCAGAAAGATGCTCACTCCAACGACAGTGCTCAGCCTCACACCCTCACTACCAGCAGCCTGTCTATTTCTAACCCACACGTACAGAACACCCTCCAACATGCAGATCCCCACACACATAGACACCCCCACATGTCTGCACTGTCAACCTACCTGGCACTCTCCTCTCCCTACTCAATTACCTTTCCCACCCCTCTCTCCTCCCCTCCCACTCATTGTCTTCCATATCCACCCATGAACTCACTCTCATCCCTCTGGCATCCCTCGGACTCTCCTCCACCAGCAATGTAGCAGGTATTTCAGATTCTGAATTGTCACATCCCAGGTCTGGAATGGGAGATACTCCAGAGAAACTTTAAGTACGAGTTGGATTGGATTTTTCCATATTAAGAATCATTCTGTTTAACCATTAAATGACTGATCTCCTTGTCTCACTGCCCCCCAAGTGTAATACCCCAGAGGCTTTAACTACTCAGAAGGGAGCAGCCCAAACTGGGAGATATGGAGTCTGCAGCCACTCGAAGCTTCAGTGCTTGCACGATGGAGAGGAGAATTAATAATGTTAAAAACATTGTCATCCTACTGACTGCTAACATTGTTCATTCACAGGAGCTGGATGTCACTGGCTGGGTCAGCAATTTTTATTGCCTGTCACTAGTTTCCCTCGAAAAGGTGGTGGTGAGCTGCCTTCTTGAACCACTGCAGTTCATGCGCTGTAGGCAGACCCACAATGCTGTTAGGGAGGGAATTCCAGAATTTTGATCCTGAAGGAATGATGATATAGAGACAGTCCGACTTACGAATGTTTGTACTTACAAACAATCCCATACATGGGTATATATTTTAAAGATACAGCATATGAACATTTCCTGCACTCAAAGAATGGCTATCTTATATTGACCTAAAATGGTTTCTGACTTGTGTAAAATCAACTTGCGATGGGACACAAGAACAGAAACAGTTCACAAAGAGGGATTGCCTGTGTTTCCAAGTCAGGATGGGGAGCGGTTTGGAGGGAACTTGCAAATGGTAGTGCTCCCATTAATCTGCTGCCTTTATCCTTCTAGATGGAAATGGTTATGGGTTTGGAATTTGCTGTCTTAGTGAATTTGGGCAGTGCAGATTTGTAGATAGTACACACTGCTGCTACTGAGCATCGATGGTGAAGGGAGTGGATGTTTGTGGATGTAGTGCCAATCAAGCCGGCTGCTTTGTCCTGGATGGTTTTAAGCTACTTGAGCATTATTGGAGCTGCACCCATCTAGGCAAGTGGGGAGTATTCCATCACACTCCTGACTTGTGCCTTGTAGATGGTGGATGGGCTTTTGGGAATCAGGTGGCGCGTTACTCATCGCAGTATTGCTAGATTCTGATCTGTTCTTAAAGCCACTATGTTTATGTGGACAGCCCAGTTCAGTTTCTGGTCAGTGGTAAGCCCCAGGATGTTGCTAGTGTGTGGCGCAAATTTACTTGCCGCTTGTCCGCCCAAGCCGAGTTATTCTCCAGATCTTGTTGAATTTGAACAGTATCTGAGGAGACACAAATGGTGCTGAACATGATGCAATCATCAGTCACATTGCCAGGTAGCTGCTAGTGTTGTAGCTTAGCTAAGGGAGCAGCAAGTTCTGGAGCATAAGTCTTCAGCACTATTGCTGAAATGTTGTCAGGGGTATAGCAACTTCAGGGCTGGCTGTTTTTCTGGATGTGGGACTCTGCAGATTGGAAGCAGTAAGAGAGTTTGTCAAAGGAGAGCTGTCTGGTAGGGTAGGGGGTATCTGAACAACCCCGATGACAGCGAGCCTTTGGGCTGTACTGCAACATATCACCAATCCTCCTTCCGGAACCCCCGGTCAAACCGGCTAGCGCAAGTTCAACTCTCAGTTTGAAAACACATGACTTCATTGTGGAAAGCCCTTCTCCACCACCCTGTCCGCTCCCTGGACACTGACCCTCCATCCCACAGGTTCTCACCCGGCTTTCTCCCGGCTTCTGGCATTCCGCTCCAATTAGTTAAACTCGCTCCGCTCCCGCTGGCCCAGAACAACCTTCAGTATCGGGTCCCGAACATTTAAATTCAGGGTCGTGCACGTCAGAGCCTGTCACTGCGCTGAGAGCGAACCAGAGATCAGCAACTGGCGGAATACTCAGACTAATACACAGCAAGGCTGATACACAGGCAGAGGACACCCGGGCAGACAGGCACAGAGGGACAAAGCAGATGTACAGGCTGAGCTACATGGATAAACAAAGTGAGAGGCAGACAGAAGTACAGGCTGAGCTACATGGATAAACAAAGTGAGAGGCAGACAGAAGTACAGGCAGAGCTACACCTGGACCGAGTGATAGACAAAAATACAGACAGACAAGGAAAGGCAGAGGTACAAACATGCAGAGAGTCAGAGGCAAGCAGAGGTACATGCAAAGCTACACAGATAAAGAACAAGATGCAGCTACAGGTACAGCCAGAGTTACACAGGCAGACACAGAGAGAGACAGCTACATCTGTGTACAAGCAAAGGCACACAGACAGACCTACAGAGACAGAGAGAGGCACACAGAGACAGACAGAGATAAAAATAGAATGAGGTGGTGGCATGGTGGTAATTTACTGGACTAATAATCCTGAGCCCCAGATTAATGCTTGTTACCACTCTCCCCACAGCAGGTGGTGAAACTGGATTGAATAATTGTCTGGAATTAAAAGCTCATCTAGTTCACTAGTTTCCTGTAAAAAAATCTACTGAGTTTACGTAGGAATGACTCCAGACCCACAGCAATGTGGTAGACTCTCAAATGCTCTCTGAAATGACTTAGCAAGCCACTCATTGTATCAATCGCTATGAAGTTTCAACAAAGAAATGAAACTGGATAGTTTCAACCTAGAGACCACAAACGACAATGGAAGAAACAGCCACATTGACCCTGCAAATCCTCCTTACTAATATCTGGGGACTAGTGCCAAAATTGGGAGAGCTGTGTCACAGACTAGTCAAGCAATAGCCTGACATAGTCATACTCATAGAATCATATCCTACACTCAATGTCCCAGACACCACCATCACAATCCCTGGATATCTCCTGTCCCACCAGCAGGTCAGACTCAGCAGAGGTGATGACAGAGTGGTATACAGTCAGGAGGGAGTTGCCCTGAAAATCCTCAACATTGATGCCTGACCCCATGAAGTCTCATGGCATCAGGTTAATCATGGGTAAGGAAAGCTCCTGCTGATTACCATGTACCGTCCTCCCTTGGATGACGAATCAGTACTTCTCCATGTTGAACAACACTTGGAGGAAGCACTGAGCATGGCATGCTTGCAAAATGTACTCTGGGTGGGGGATTTCAATGCCCATCACCAAGAGTGGCTTAGCAGTAGCACTACTGAACACACTGGTCAGGTCCTAAAGGTCATTGCAGTTGGAGTGAGTCTGCAGCAAACGGTGAGGGAACCAACAAGAGGGGAAAACATACTTCACCTCATCCTTATCAATCTTTTGTATTTCCACCAAATCAAATCCATGATAGTACGTCAGTTATCTCTGCTTCCTTAGCTTTTCCACCTTTAACCTCCTTGTTACTCTATTTGCTTCACCTTTGTTAACTCATGTAAACCAATCAGGGATTGCTTGTTCCACTGGAGGGAGGTTTTAAAATACTTCCAGTGCCATTTCACTTTCATAATATAAGTAACCTGGTATCTATCTGTCTATCCTTTAGCAAATATTTCCCTCACACAGTCAAGTTCACCATTATCTGTCTCCAAGATTCCACACTGATTGAGCCCCCAGATGACATAGTGACCTGGAGCCACTATTCCACTAGTCATATTGTAAGTATAAATGTGATAATGCAGTCACTGAAATGGCCATTTGATTCCCTTGTCAACTGTTATTCAGAATAAAGGGCACTTGCAACAGGCTTATTTAATAAGCTCAAAATTAATCTGTTTCCAATGAACAAAACTTACTCCTAAAGCAAGTTGCAAAACCGATTAACAACTAAGCTATAAACCCTTTATCTCAAACACATTCACATAATACAAACACTTCAATCCCTCTGCAGTTTGGAATTCTGCAGTCATTCTCCATTTAAATAATATTCCACTTCTTTATTTTTCCTGCCAGAGTGAATAGCTTCATGTTTTCCCAATTGTATTCTACCTGCCAGATTTTCACCTACTCATGTAACCTCTCTGCATCATTGTGCATCTTTCATCATGGCCAAAAGCCCACTTTATTACACCACTGTCTAAAAAGAAACAAAATAAAAAAGGAAAGTACTGCTTAAAACCAAGGAGTCTGTGCAAAAAGATGGTGCAGTTTAAAAAAGTCATTTTTAACGGAGCATATTGTAAACTATGGAAGAGAGGAGGGGCAACTGTCTGACAACAATGGGCTGCTGACCAGATGACCATGTGTGAGGCTAGTGCAGCAGACAATTCAGTTTGCTAACAGCAAGTAACAAAATCTCTGCTTCTGATGTCAGCACATGAATGGATGGGGGTGGGGTGGGGGGAGAGAATGTGAGAGAGAAGACAGAGAGATAGGGAGAGAAAGTCTCCAGTAACGGTTAGCTTCTACTCAACCTTCAACAGCAAATTTGCTATTAGAGAAAAATGATGCCTTCAAAAGACAGTGAAAGATGAATTTCTAACCAATGAATAAAAGACAGCATCATCTTGTAAACAACCTCATGGCAACAGCAAAGAACAGAAAGGAATTGGAAGAAGCTGAAAAACAACAACTCATCTCCTCCTGAGACCTGGACTGGTGCTATAGAATTGTAATTCCCCAAATTATTTTCCTTTTCCTCCCTTGGCTGTCTTTGTGTGGCTGTCTGCTTGTGAGAGAGGGGTTTAAAGAAGAGGTAGAGATTAAGTTATAGTGTGTTATAAATGACCAAACCATTGTTTAAAGATGTTTTATTCATAATAAACAGTTATTGACTTGTTAAATACAGAAATGTGGTGAGTGTTTTATTTTAAATTGAGTTTGTCAGTCAGGTAAATTCAGCCATGACCATTTGCGTGGAGTCTTGTCAAGTATCTTCTGGAAATCCAAGTATATCAATGGGCCACCCCTTTGTCAACAGAACATGTTACTCCTTTGAACAATATGAATAAATTAGTTAAGTTTAATTTCCCTTTCACAAAACAAAGCTGACTCTTCATGAATATCATGTGTTTTTCCAGAATAAACCAGAACCGGTAAAAATGATAGGTTTTCTTCAGGAGATATCAGTGTTTTTACAACATCAATATGATCCCGTTAGGGTCAGGATTTTTTTCTTTGAGAGTTTACTGCATTAAAATTACACCATCAGCCACAGTTTGATTTGAAATCAAGTATCCAGACTATTGGTTTGTGGTTCTGGATTACTCATACAGTGACTACGTCTACGTGCCACTATCTCCTGCTGCACCCTTTCTGTGCTTGGACTGACCCAGTCTGTGCCAGGATAGATCCACTCTGTGCAGAGACTGACCCAGTCTGTGCCGGGACTGAGCCAATTTGTGCCAGGACAGATCCAGCCTATGCAGAGACTGACCCCGTCTGTGCTGGGACTGACCCAATCTGAGCTGGCACTAAACCAGACTGTGCCTGGACTGACCCTGTCTATGCCTGGACTGGCCCTGACTGTGCTGGTACACGCCCAGTCTGTGCCAGGACTGACCCTGTCTGTGCAGGGATAGTGCTGGCACTAACACAGTCTCCAGTGTATACCTCAGTTTTGATCATTTAAAACTTTTGAAATATCTGCTTTCTCTGAACTTTGGTCTGTTGTGCTCTTCCAATTTAAATGTCTTTGCTTGGAAGCTGTGCTTTTAGTTGCCAAGGATGCAAGTTTTAGACTTCTCTCCCTACCTGTCCCTCTCCAGTATCATTAAGATGCTCCCTAAAACCTTTCTAGTTGACCAGCGTTTTGCATTCAAGGTATACGTGTATGTTGGATATGAATTTAAATAATAGAATCCCTACAGTGTGGAAAAAGGCCCTTCGGCCCAACAAGTCCACACCAACCCTCACAGCATCCCCCCCAGATCCATCCCCTAATCTACACATCCCTAAACACCACGGGCAATTTAGTATGGTCAATCCACCTAACCTGCACAACTTTGGAATGTGGGGGGGAAATCCAGAGCACCCGGAGGAAGCCCATGCAGACACGGGGAGAATGTGCAAACTCCACACAGACAGTCGCCTGAGGCTGGAATCAAACCTGGGTCCCTAGCACTGTGAGGCAGCAGTGCTAACCACTGAACCACTGTGTCACCCAATATCATTTGACTCTTAATTCCAGATGTTTATTGAATTCAAATTCTACAATCTGCCGTGGTGATAGTCAAACCCGGGTCCCCAGAATGTTATCTTGGTCTCTGGATTAACAGTCCAGCGATAATACCACTGGGCCATCCCCTCCCACTTGTGTCATCTGACTATTCCAAAGGCACCTTATACATATAAAAGTTGTTGTCATGAATTGAGATTTTTCTTTTAGTTAACGTGAGCTCTTGGTTAATAGACCATTTCATGCAATTAGAAATGATAGAACTGAAAGGACAGGGAAAGCCTTTATGGAATTACGCACATAGAGTCATAGAGATGTACAGCATTGAAACAGAACCTTTGGTCCAACTTTTCCATGCCAACCAGATATCCTAAATTAATTTGGCCCATATTCTTCTTAACCCTTCCTATTCATGTAACCATCCAGGTGCCTTTTAAATTTTGTAATTGTATCAGCCTCTACCACCTCTTCTGGCAGCTCATTCCATACATGGACCACCCTCTGCATGAAAAAGTTGCCCCTGAGGTCCTTTTTAAATCTTTCCCCTGTCACCTTAATCCTAAGGCTTCTAGTTTTGGACTCCCTACCCAGGGAAAAGACCTTGGCTATTCACCCTATTCATGCCTCTTATGATTTTATAAACCTCTATAAGGTCACCCCTCAGACTCTGACATTCCAGGGAAAATAGCCCTAGCCTATTCAGTCTC